GTTATAGATGCATGAAATTTATAAAGTGTTGTTTTGTGAGGGGATCAAAACGTAGGGATCGATGTTAATGTCTGTTTTATATGTGTAATAATATCGGCCTTCTAACTTTAGTGAAACTGTGCAGTTGTTCAGTGACGGATCCAGGGGGAGGGTTCAGGGGGTTGGAACCCCCCTTTTTTTGGACGATCAATGCATTTGAATTGGGACATATAGTTGGAACCCCCCCCCCCCCCCCCCCCCCTTTTTGCCCTGGGTTGGGAACCCTTTTTAAAATGGCTGGATCCGCCATTGTTGTTTCATGCATTTGATATGCAAATTATCACAAAACTAAAAGGATAAGATTGATGAATTAATAGTTGATCGTTTAACGTACAGTGGCATATATTATAGATTCATTATTAGGGGGAGTACAATAATTATGATATAATGATAAACATTGGCAATCATACCACAACTTCTTTTTTATAAGAACGTACATGTGTAGATTTTCGTCTTTTACTGTAAACGACAGTGTCCCCGGGAGTCAAAGCCGAAATCAAACTTGTGAAAATTTCTTAAACATACATTTCATTATTTAACCCAATGTAAAGCAAAACAAATAATACCGTTTTGAGCTATAAAACCAAGGCAACCCTTTATACTAGTCAAAAGATGCTGGATCGTGATAGATGCATACGAAACTTCAGTGAATTGTTTGTATTTTTCAATCTTTTATATCCGATAAAGATGAACACAAAATCTATCGGATAAAAACTACCGATTTTTCTATAAGATAAAATTTATCCTTATTGGAGTCAAATTTGTCATATGGATTCATAAAGGACAAAAAAATGTCCTCAGTAACGGAACAAAAAATACCCCCATGGTAAAATAATCCGTCATTCTTTAAAACAAAGTACTATTGTGAATTATTTTTTCGGATATTAATCTTTTAGACATACACTAAAAACGGTGTCCTTGATATGCAACCATGAACACAATGAAAAGTGAATCTGTGAAAGTGTTCCATGTTTATTCCATTTAAATAAAGACTTGTTATGATAATACAATATATTTAACTATTTTATCAAAAAATTTAAATAAAAAAGAATATCTTAAACTCGTAAACACAATTTCAAGTTTAAAAAGTTCCTCAATTTGAAATCCTTCTTAAGGAATACGGGATATATTTGCGTGATCTTATACTTGTTTAATTAAAAAAATGCCTTCAAATGCATATGTTTATTTGTATTCAATTTTCCACAAAACATATTTAGCTTATTTTAAATGAAAATGAAGAACAGAGAATAAAAACACTGTTGAAGAGAAAATACATATTCGTGTTAAATTCGCCTTAGTTTAATTTGTTAATTCAAGTGTGACATCTTAAATCTTAATCCGCAATCCACTATTACCCGACAATCTTGTAAATTGTATTTTCTCAATGGAATAACCTTACGTGCACGTGACCATCAGAAACGAAGACAAAAATTATATTTGTAATGGTATTTATCAAAACTTAAATGTTTGAATATTTAGTAGAATATGAATTTGCCAAATAAGCGAAGAATTATAATCTTGCATTGTTCAACATTGGAGAAATGACTCAAGTTGAACATTAATCGTGTTAATACTGATTCAATATTTTATTATAGTCTCACCACATACAGACATAAAATGAGAATCACAGAAATAAACATAAAACATTAAAACATTTGCATTGTATGTACCAATCTTAAAAAGAATAATGATAGACTTTTAAGACACAATACATTTATTCATTTACATTTCAAATTTACAGTGTCCACCTGTACTATATGAAAATAAAATATTTTTTCTTTGAGAACTAGGAAATAAAATTCCGTTTCTTTTCAATGAAATATTGTTGATGTTTTTGGCAACTATAGCAGCAACATTGCCGTTATTGAATAAAAATATTTCGCTATCTGATAATTAAAGGTTAAAATGTTCATTAAAATGTTTATCTTAATGTATCATAATTTGTCTTAAATCTACATATAATGGGCATTTTAAAATGACATGAAGTTCATCTTCAATAGTAGAGCTACAACACATGTCATCTCGTGGACTTCTTTTCTTTCATACTTTCCAGTTTCTTTTTTTAGTGGAGCTACATGTACCCCACATCTAAATTTTGCAAAAGCACTAGTAGCTGTTGTTTTTAATTGGCGGAATATTTTTTAACAAATAACAGATGGCCACCATATATTTTTAAGCCCATTTCGCTCAGTTGAATAGACATTCCAATTTTAACTGTTCTGTCGTAGAAATGTCATCATGTTATTGTTTGTACGTAGAACATGTATCATTATATTAAAATGTGTCAGTCCCATCCAAGATTCACTGAATAACCACGAAATGTTTACAGATGATAAATAAATTTTACACAAAAATTCATGAATCTGTATGAACGTTATGTACGATGAAGTTAATTAAGTGTTCACAAGAAAGTAAGTATGTAAATTTTATTTAAAGTCGGAACATATATATACACTTTAACCGTGAGATAAAATATAAGCTTTGATGAGCTCTATAACCGACTATCATATAAAAACCGCAATGAATGAACGTAACCCGATTAGAGATGAACGTTTGACAAATGCACGTTATCTGATGTACACAGTTATACACGATTGACGAACGCACGATACACGGTTAAGTATGAATGATTGATGAACGCACGATACACGCACGATACACGCACCATACACGATTAAGAATACACGATGCACGCACGTTACACGGAAAATACACGGAACGATGAATGATGAGCGCACGATTGGTACACGCACGATACACGCACGCAACACGCACGATACACGATGAACGCACGGAATAATGGTCAGTTTGAATTTTAGAAGGTCTGTATCTGTAGAGTGCGAAGCGGAATAAAAACGGAACGGAACGAAACGAAACGAAATATGACGAAACGAAATTAAATGCACATCAAATTTTACTTAAAAGTTAATGTAAAAAACATATAAGAAGAGGCAGACGGATCTAAGCGGATCCTTAGCTTTCAAATATTCGGCTTTGACCGTTCCTGATGAAGGGTAAATCCAGAAAAAATCTTCGGACGACTGAATTTTTTAACGTATTGTTTCCATGTTTTTATCGATTGCATGACGATCATATATTGCCTTTTATCATTGATGTAAATTGTTTAAAAAGTATTGGTACGGTAGGTGAAATACTTAATTAATGAATGGTGACGCAATGAACGATGTGCTAGCCTCGAAAGTGGGATGTTGTTTATTGTATACATTTCATTTTTTTCTAAATTGATATCTGCTTTACACTGCTAACTCGTTATACACGCTGCACTGAGTAAGACCGAATTTTAGCAGCTTGGACCCAGGATGATGTTAAAAGGTAGAACTGTAATATCCAACTCAGAATGTCGGTCTTGTGAAAGCTGACTATATTCATACCACATAAAGATTATTTCCAGCCTGAATATTTATGTAATACAATGTAGTTGCCGCTGTATGTTAAGCGTCCATCTATCCATGTGTAGCTGTCGGCATTTCGATTAATGCGTCTCGTCAGTTTTAATTAAATGAGCAACACCATGTTAATTATTTTAACGATTCAGTTGTGAGGTAGTTTGATAATGAAATATTTTTTTGTATTGTCATTATGTTTGTGTGTGCGTAATTTATTTTTCTTGGAGAGGGCTTGCAGATGCTTAGCCTGATGCATGATCCAATTTATATATTTTGAAGAAGAAAAATACATTGATTAAATAAAACCGTAGTTAATTGCAAAAAATAATTTTTAAAAATAGAATTGAGAATGGAAATGGGGAATGTGTCAAAGAGAAAACAACCCGACCAAATTCGCTTATAGCATAAAACAGTTCACATCACCGATAAATATATTACAAAAGTGACCAATCTTAATAGTAAACCGTATTTTGGTTTCTTTTCGTTATTGTTGGTTGCTTAACGTCCAGTGGCAAATATTTCATGCATGTTCAGGACGAGAGCAAATTAACAATAACTACAAAAGGTAGATCTTGTAATAGAGACCGTCCGGGATGAAGGTCGGGAAATTTAGACTGCCACTGGAAAATTAGGATATATTGGATAGGGACAGCAATTTTGCATAGCAACAGGTCACGGACCCCTCAAAGAGTTGTTGTAAGTGTTCTCAACGTGCAGAGAGTGTGACAATCTCTTTACACACCCCATTCTGACCGCACGTGACTGCATACTTGTACATCCCGTACAACCAAAGTTTTTAACGGAAGCCCTACTTTTGCAAGGGCTTTACTGTCGGTCGGAACAGGACCTGAGTGACTATATTTCTATTCCCGAGTTCCCCTTGGAAGTAAACAATTTTAGAAAGGTCTGTTATAAATTATATCAGTATTCATGTCAGTACTCCTGAATGATGGGCGATTTATCAAGCAAGTAACGTATGTGCCGTTGAAGAGTGTATCTAACAAACACAATAGTGGAAAGGGAGTAAAATATCCAACCTTGAATTCCTTTTGTCCATTTTGAACAATGGATTCGAAATTAGCTGTTAGGCTAGGATGAAATTTGAAAAAAAAGGCAGGACAGGAGTGATCAGGAGTTTTGAGTGAAAAAAAAAGCAGGATGAGCAACCTGGCAAAAAAAGAAAGGCAGGATGACAATTTCTGTAAAAAAATTCAGGATAAACTAATAAAAAAAAAAAGGCAGGACCGAATAGAGTGAAAAATAAAAAGGCAGGACAGAGATTACAACTAGAAAAAATGCAGGGCAAAATTTTTCATCCTAGAATTAGCATTACTGAGTTACGCGGGTTATTCAGCGTGCACCACATTTTTGATGTTATTTCTTCATAGACAGAAAAAATATTACAGTCATTCCTTAAACAAAATCGAATGAAGCAACTGCAGCCTGATATGATAATATCATATAATATTGGCATACAAATAGTGGAATCGATTTTTGTTCAGGTATTTTATGCATTTGCTGCGCACCTGCCATGCGTCATTTTCACACTTCCTGTTTACCGTTAGCCGGCAGGATATTTCATGTTCATAAAAATGGGTTGTTTATGTTCAAAGCTTTTTTTATGGCGAAGACCAAGACATGAAGAGTTACAAGAAGAACAACCGAAGCAGTTTTCATGGCAAGTGAAAATTGTCCAATGTCAGCAAACTTGCACTGTTACTTTACACTAAGTTATTTTAAGACAGGTGTTTCCTTAGTCCAAATAAATGAAATAGCCTTTCAGGACGTAATAATTATTTGGACTAGTGTTTCCTGTGAAACTGAAAGCGATCTATCGGACTATAGTTAACTAATGCTACTTAATACCAGCAAACTTCTTCTGTAAGTCCTCTTACACGAGTCTCTTGAGCCAGGCAATATTTGTGCTGCTGATCAGTTTTTGGTTAGTCTTAATAAAGAGGTTGGAAGCACATGTTAGCACAACAGTTCGAATTCTACTAGTACTACGACCCAAAGTCGCGGAAAGCAAGACATAGGGATTGCTTTTCCAGTGGCCATGACTCCGTGGTCAACATAAGTTAGTTTTCTGCTTAAGTTAGTTTCATAGGAACTACTTGTGATCATACTTGCCAACCTCTGACAATGAGAAATCATGTCATGACATGACATGACATGTTAAAAAGCGTGTGAAAACGCGTGACGTAGATGCGGACTTTTTAATATGAACAATGTTCATAATATCACAATAATCATTATACAAATTTGTCAATATAATAAACAAGAGTCTACTGTAAACTTTTATTGAATTCAACTGTTGCTTTTGAAGCAACATCACTAGGCACATATATATTCAAAACAACTGCCAGTTTGGTTACATTTACTTGATAACAAGGCACAATTGTCAAGTTCTGATCAGAATTCAGTGTAAATTTATTTATAATTGAAAATGTTCTCTCACAGTCAGAATTGGTATTTGGCTGAACTAAAATAGCTTTATCAAGCTTTGAACAAGTGTCATAACAATTTTTTTGCCATCTAAAATGTCATCTTTAATCACTGCCTTTGCTTCCAACAAACTATACATGTTGCTATTGCCTGGTCAAGACTGGGTAGTTCATCAGAAGACAGCTGGTACTATGAGAACTGATCCAACAGTTCAGTGATATTTCCATCTCCAATGACCTGTTGAAATCTGTTGGCCAGATTTGAAACTGAAAAAGAAAAATATTTTATAATTTGATTACCAAAATGAGTCCATTATTGATTAAACATGTTAAATGCCTAATCAAATAGCTACATTGTTGTTCTCCTCTCACATGTATTGTTATGATTGCAACATAGGGTACACAAATTATGCGTTACTCGTCCCTTGGTCATTTAAACTTATAAATCATGAATCTTGGTACGTACACATCGTTTTCGCTTAGCAATCTTATCTATAGACAACGGTACAGGCCCTGAAAGCGACCTCTTTCTGTGGACATTTCCCCTAAGTTAATTTGAAAGAAAGATTGTCACAAAATCATAAAAACTAATCACAAACTACTTACCTTAAAGGGTTTTGCTGTTCGTCCATCATGATAGAATTTAAAACAATGACAACCAAACAATTACTTCGGAATTCTCGGTATTTATCGTCTAATAACGGAAAAACCAAAGAATCGCGATTTCACTAACGACCAAAAAATCAAAACAACGAAAAGCGTGTAATTGCGTGTAAAGTGGTAAAAAGCGTGTACACGCCATGTGACAAAATCCTCGCGTGTAAACCGTTGAAAAAGCGTGTATTACACGCGAATATCATGTCACTTGGCAACTATGCTTGTGATAGATCATTGATATTTTGTTTTTATTTTATTTCTAGGCTCTGCCCTCTAAGTCATGGTCCAGTGACTTTGTATTAATTAGCATCTTTCAATGTTAAGTTTTCTGCTTGAGTTATTTTGGTAGAAACTACTTGTGATAGATCAATGATATTTCGTATGAAGTTGCATTACTACTATCAGTACATATAGGTTTGATGACTATTTTGAGGTCCTGCCCCCTAGTACAAGGTCCAGTGACTTTGAATTAAATACCAATTTTCAAGTTTTCAATTTGCTTAAGTTACAATGTAGTTTGATCATGTTTATACTATAAATTATACATCACGGTAAGAACGATACCACCGCGGTAAAAAATTATACATCACGGTCCTTTAATGGCCTGGGGAGAACCCTATAAATTATAGGATCTACTTGTGATACTGGTAGATCAATGGTATTTTGTATGAAGTCGCATTACTATCAGGTTATAATGTTTAGATAAAGACATTTTATTTCGTTCAACTGAAGATGGATTTTGCAAAATAAAATATGTAATATTTTTTATTATTTATCCCCCTCCTCCAAGTCCTCATTTTTCAACTGTATTCAAGGTTGGCAAAAAAGCGGTCAATACTAGTATTGACCATGCCGGCGGTAAATACCGGGAAATACTGGCAAATACTGGTCAATTGAAATTTTGATAGGACTTAACTATAAAAACTAGTCCCTACCTTCGGTCAATTACTTGGTAAATGGATAGATATAGTCACAAGGAAGAAAGTCACTTATTTACTTAATTGTACTAGGACAAAAAGTCACAATTAATTAGTTCATGAACATGGTTTAATGAAGATTTATCAAATATTAATTTAATCATACAACAGTTATAGTCATTAACACCATGAATTCAGTCACTTAAAAGAGACTATATAACATCTGGTTTTCTTAACAGTTATTTTGAAAGATGCAATTAAAAAAAATTGTTTTATATATATATATATATATATATGTTATATATTTATAAAAAAAAAAACAGTTCCTGAATTTAGAAGATTTTTATCATGCTGTTGAATAGTCAGGAATTAATTCATTGTTTAAAACAATCTTCAGAAATCACTTTTATGACCTTTTTCCTGTTATGTGAACATTTATTGGGGGACAGTTGGTATAGTAATTAAACTTTTGACACCATGTCAGCCATATAATAGGTAATGCTCTGATAATCTATATTGCTAGTCACTTGTAATTCTATTTACCTGTAAAATTAAAACCTTTTCAAGAAAAAATTATCTTGATTTATACATACTGATTTAGCAATTTTATATGTATACCAAAAGTATGCAATATAATTACCCCTAAGAACTAAAGTAGTAATTTATAATGTTTTAATAGTTAATAACATACCAATATCATTCATTTTTATAAACTGAATCATCCCAAAGGAATAAAGTTTTCCCTCATCAACCAACTTTTTACTAGTATAGATAGATAAGTCAGTCAAAAGAAGCTTGAAAATTTCAATTGACCAGTATTTGCCAGTATTGACCACTTGGTGAGTATTGTCCGGGGCGGTAAATACCGGTAAATACCACTGGTAAATACCGGGGGCGGTAAATACCGCCCAACCTTGACTGTATTTGAAAAATATGTAAGAAATGCTCGTCTTTAAGTCATTTTTCCACTACTAAATTGTCTATTCTACTTACTAGTACACTTGGTACAATCAAAAACCTGATAATAAATTGTTCAAATAAGGCCTTTGAAAATAATGGAATTAACTACTTTTGGAGTGTCAAAAACTCGTTGGAAGTACTTGATAAATTGCATGCATATATTTGTGATTTTGAATCTGTTCAAAGTTTTGATTTTTCTACCCTGTATACCACTTTGCCTCATATTCTTATTAAGAAAAAATTCACACACCTAATTAAATGGGCATTTAAAAAGTCGGATTGCGAATACATATGTTCAAACTCTTTTTGGTCATTTTTTAGTAGCAACAAACAAAAGAGCTATGTCAATTGGACATGCTTTGATACTATATCTGCCCTTGAATTTTTACTTGATAACATTTTTGTTCGCTTTGGAGATTCCGTATATCGTCAAGTTATCGGAATTCCAATGGGGACTAACTCTGCACCACTTATTGCGGACCTGTTTTTGTATTGTTATGAGTTACAATTTATGACTAAAATCAGCAAAGACCCTTCGAAACAACACCTGATACAAAAATTTAACAATACTTTTAGATATTTGGATGATATATTGGCTCTCAATAATGACAACTTCAGTATGTATACTAAAGAAATTTATCCTGTTGAACTTACTTTAAATAAAGCTAATACTAACAATGACCACTGTCCTTTCCTCGATCTTGATATCTATATCATTAACGGGAAGCTTAATACAAAAATTTATGATAAAAGAGATGATTTTTCATTTTCTATCGTTAATTATCCATTTTTAGATGGTGACGTTCCCTTGTCACCATCTTATGGTGTTTATTTATCTCAACTTGTACGATTCGCTCCTGTATGTAACCACGTATTTGATTTTAACGAAAGCAATCTCTGTATTACTGAAACAATTATTACACAAGGGTTTTCGATATCATAAACTAGTCAAAACATTTACTAAATTTTATCATCGGTATAAGGACGTCATTCGTAAATATAACTCAACATGCAGACATCTTATACATTCGGGTATTTCACATCCAATCTTTTATGGTAATATTCTTTACAAAGCACAAAAATGTCAGTTTTCACCTCAAAAGCTAACAAAACCTTTAAACAGACTTATTAAGAAGGGATATAGTTACGATACTGTTGTCAGGTCATTAAAGATTGCATATTTTGGCTTTAATATTGATTCACTTATAGAGTCTTTGCATCAGAATTAAACATATTTATTCTAAAACCAGTTGTTGGCATGACACAGGTTATGTTCTTCTCATGTATATTATGACGGTATAATACTAAACCCCTAACAGGAGGGATTGTGCCTGATATTCATATGATGAAGACATAATCTTTCAATCAGTTTAATTGAGGTCTGGAGCTGGTATGTCAGTAACTGCTAGTAGTCTGTTGTTATTTATGTATTATTGTCATTTTGTTTATTTTCTTTTGTTTCCTATTCTGACATCGGACTCGGACTTCTCTTAAACTGAGTTTTACTATGCGTACTGTTGTACGTTTGTTTTTTCTACATTGGCTAGAGGTATAGGGGGAGGGTTGAGATCTCAAAAAACATGTTTAACCCCGCCGCATTTTGCGCCTGTCCCAAGTCAGGAGCCTCTGGCCTTTGTTAGTCTTGTAACATTTTTAATTTTAGTTTCTTGTGTATAATTTGGAGTTTAGTATGACGTCCA